CGTGCGTTGCCGGGTGGTGTGTTCATAACATGGACCCGGGTGGCACTGCAAGACACAAACATGGGGGCAGCGATCGTCGTTCATATCGCTATTGCTTCTTTCTCTAGAGGCTTCCCACACGGCTCTCCGCATGAACGGGGTGTCAAATATAAATCATATGGAAGATCAGGGTGCTTCCCACAAAAGCAAACGTATCGAATCTGTTTAGAGTTGAGGAGCTGTACAGATTGGCAACCAGGGCACCGCCAATTTGAGCCGTGGTTCTTGTCTACGGACAAATCAATAGAAGTCGGTGCTCGAGCCCATTTCTTGATACAGTTGAGATGGAAAATGGAGTAACAGCTGGAGCACGACCATATTGGCGCTGACCTCCGCACCATATCGTAACAGATCATGCATTCGACAGTCCCCTTGGTGAGCTTGTCTTGAATTTCCTGCACATGCTGCGGCATATTCAATCCCTTGGGCGCGTGATTCTCCGCTTCCCTCCGCGGATGAGAAGGCCGGGCAACATAGCTTCTCTGAATGAAATCACCTCTATGCCGACTCTCTGGCGGGGCAGAACTATAATTCGAGTCTCCGCCATTGCCATTAGGGTTTGAATTAAAACTCGACGGAGGGTTCACAACGGTAGCAGTAGATGCCCTTGGAACCCACTCTTGGCGAGTAGTACGAGCATGAATTCGGGATCCGTCCCTTCGATCAGTGCGGGGTTGAAAGCTCGTACTCGTAAACGGACTGAAACCCTGGGTTCAACCCCCACAAGTTTCTTGTCGATGTGAATTGAATCAACTGGAATATGAATAAAATCAAATCCAACTCAAACACAGAAAGGGATGCCCAAATATCCCTAGCCTTGATCCCTTCTCGACTGTTCAATACAAACCAATAAAACAAAGAAACTACTCAACGGTTAGATTCAGTTTCGAAACTAAAGAATCCAAAACGAATTGAATTGAAATTATAACATAGAAGAGTTGATGAATTAAATTACCTGAACCTGAGAGAGAGAAAAAAAAAAATCTCTTTGGGTTGGGTCTTTGACAGAGAACAAAAAGAGTATGTGCTTTTAAATGGCATACGAGAGACAACGACGGTGAAGGTTGAAATGTTGAATTCCTTTTTTTTTAATTTATTTATTGTTATTTGTTTTATTGATATTAATATTGATCTTGTATTTATCGTCTGGTTGCTTGGGCAACACAGACGATTTGTTCTTTCTTCGTGGTCTAGTAAGAGCGAGCGTGGCGCTGGCACATCGCGCAACGAACGAAACGTCCAATAGTCAAAGCTGTGGCAAACCGGCAACTGCTTCATAAGGAAGCATACCTCGAGATGGTGGGTGAATGAGCCCAATAGTAATAATACTCGAGCTTGGGCCTAAAATTGAGCTCGTTTGGCTAAACGAGCATGAACCTATTAGTTTGTATGGTTCAACCCATGGTTTTTAAAACGGGACTGGATGGTTGGACCGGGACCGATCATTCCGTTTTACTTCAGAACCATTATTTTGCCAAAAACCATTGATTTGGTTAGCAAATCATTGATTTGGGCATTTGAACCGTTTGACGGTTTGGCCGTTTTTTATTTTTTATTTTTTTGTTAGAATGAGCCATCCATTCAATTTGAACGATTGGACCGTTTGGCACAGGAACTGGACCCTTGATCAGTTCATTGTTTGGTTCGGTTTTAAAAACCTTGGTTCAACCTGCATTAGTTGCATACAAATAATGTGAAGAAATAAGAATCTCCTCAACTAGAGGGGACTTTTTTCTTTTTGTACCAAAGCTTTCACCCATTCAAAATCAAGGGTGATCATGGGCCAGGCCAGGCTTTGCACTTATGATAAGGGCTATAGCTTAGGCTCGGGCTCGGCCCGGGGTTCCGGGCTTGTAACATAAGCCCTAGCCCAGGCCGGATTGGGTCGGGCCTGATTCCGGGTCAATGTCTTTCATATATAAAGCATTACATATTTATAATATTTTATATTAAATGACATAACATGCATATAAATTTTTACTTTATATATTATATAATATAAAATATTACATATAATATAAATTATACATGTCATGTTATAATATTTATATATAAAATATATAATATAATGTAAAATAACATGTATACATTATACACAAAATGTGTAAGTTTAAATATATATGGGTCGGGCCGGGCCGGGCCAGGCTTGAAGTATTAAGCCCAAGCCCAGAATTTCGAGGGCAGGTCGGGCTGAAATGATCACCCCTACTCAAAATGCTTGATCCTATCAATAACATTCATAGGGTTAGGGCTATTGTTTTCAGAAAAAAAAAAGGGCCTATTTGTTTTACAACAATAGAAATCCGGAATAAGAATCACATTTTCATTCTTGGAAGAATGCATTCTCCATGTGAATCAAAAAGACCTTATTTCTTTCTCTCCAAATTATATTTATGGAAAAGTAAATTGTTTATTACTTCATAACTCGCTTTGCCACTCCGTCACTATCTCAACATTGTTTATTTAGATCCAATTTGCGTCTAATCTTATTTATTTGGTGAGACATATAGCTCTATCAAAAGCACAATGTCCTGAGCTGGCACAACTCATGTATTGTATATAGGTTTCAGTTCCCAGGTTGAATGGTTCGATCGTCCAATCTGAATGAATGATCCATTCTATAAAAAACAATCAAAAACTGTTGTTTGGATTGAAGGTTTTACGGTTTGACTATCTAGGATAATAATTTGTTGATCAAATCAATGGTTTTTAACTAAAAGACAATTTTAGAGTGAAACAGAATCGGTCAAGTGACCAATTCCCGATTTTTTCAATCAAATCATCCAATCCAGTCCAATTTTAAAAACATTAACTGTATTCATCCTTCAAAAGTTGGAAATCATCTTTTGGTTGTCACACCACCCCACACCCCCCAACCCCCAAAAAGAAAGTGTTGAATTCTATAGGAACTTTTAACTTCCATTTCCATATCATTAACTTCATAGTAGATGATGATGGATGGTTGATGGTTCTCCTATATTCAGATTTAACAGTGTAGACCCCGTGTTATTGCCCTTTCTGGCCTTCTATAGAAGAGTGTTTTGTGCATTAAAACTTGGGTGTATTGTAAAATGTGTTGAATAGAATCTCACTCAAATAACTATCGCAACCTTGGGACATTCCATGAGTCAACGATTCACCTTTTTGTTTGAAACATTTACACTGCAGGTGTCTGGTTTTAAGTTTTAACACATGAACGCCACCCCGCCCTCATCATGGGAACCCAAAGTTTCTCCATCATAAATACATAATACATAATACCCTCTTCCCCACATTTGTTTCCACCATGTGGAGTAATAACGTCGGGATTTCATATATAATACCTTTGATAGTTTTAGCCCACCAAGCTTCACTGTCAGCCATTGGTCTCTAAATTTGTTTTTTTTTTTTTTAAAGTAAGTTCAGTTTGAAATGAGTATAAATGCAAACATATATGAAATGTAAAACCTTATATTTTATATTATTTTATTTGTATTTATACTGTACATTTGTAAACTGAGCCTTATTCATTTCATACACTCTTCTCAAAGTATGGACAAGATTTCTCTCATTCTTCCATGCCCACGGATTGTATCGTCCATGCCTCCCTATTGCACTATTACTTGCACCACCACTTTAATCATTGTGGCTCCCCCAACTTGTGAAAGTAATTTCAAGGTTTTCATATTTTGTTTTATAAAGGCTCTATAGCAGCCTTCAACTTTCCAATTCCTATCTTTTCTCCTTTATCTTTCAAAGATAGGGGTGGATTCAAGTCGATCCAAGCCGAATAGTATTAGGTTCGAGCTCGGCTCGAGACTATTCTACAAGAATCGAGTTCGAGTTCAAACTCGGTTTTATCCAAAACCTTGAGTTCGAGCTCGGCTTGAGTCAAGATTCATAAGTTCGAGCTCGGTTCGGCTCGACTTGTTTTATATTTTATTATAAAAATATTTAGAAAAAATATTTTATAAAAATAAAAATTATATATAATTTTTTATTTTATATTTAAAAAATTAAGAACTATAATAATTATTATATATATTAAATATCAAATGTATATATATATATATATTCGAGTCGGCTCGCGAGCCTCACGAGCCAAGTTCTAGTAGGCTCAAGCTTGGCTCATTTAACAATCGAGCCACTAAATTGGGCTCGAGCTCGGCTGAAACCGAGCTGAGCTGAGCTTTTCACGAGCCAAACTCGAAAAACTCGTGAAAAACTCAGCTCGTTGCCACTCCTATTCAAAGACAAATGCCTAGATGATGGTGATATAGAAGCTCTGGCCCGTGACTGCCCTTCAACTCCCCTATTACTTTGTAACTAGTTGGAACATGATCATTGTTGTATCAAATTTATAAATCAGAGAGTAAGGACTAAAATATTTATAGAGCGTATTGTATCCGTATTGATGTATCTAGTTACATACAAATACATTGATACAAAGGTCTTTTGCATGATTTAAAGTTTTAGAGATGTGGACATCAATCCATTAATGATTATACAAAGGAGTAAAAAAGAGAAAAAAAGGACATTAGTGACATCGATACATATTGATGCCCATTTTTGGATATTAGGTGCATTGATATTTTTTTAAGAAAATCTCTTAACATTGTATATGTTTGGCATCGATGCTACAGATATAATACCCTTTTCTTAGAAAACGGTACTGCTGATGTGTGGGTTGGAAGCATTATTTTATGGGAAAACGGTGTCTTTTTTTTTTATTTGAAAAAGTTGCTGTCAGGTAGACGTTTCCTAGAGCAACAACAACACCTTCTGTTTGATACCAATGTTGTACCAGTGCTTCATATCTGTTTTCAACACTAGTACCCATTATAAGAAGTCCACGCCACTGTCACATCATGTCCTCGTTAGTAGCAACAAATTCTAATATGAGAAAACGTGAAATTTGGTATTGCTCCAAACCATGCCATCTCAATTTCCAAGGTGTGGCTTGGAGCACCATTTTTTATAGAAAAACGGTTCTAAACATATTGACGCTTCTTGGAACACCATTTTTTTTTCTTGATGTGACGCTGATGTGTCACCATTTTTTGAAGCAACGACATCGATGCCAAATAGATGCATTGTTTGCAAGATAGTTGAGTTGGGGGATAAGGAGATTGAGACTGTGATATTTAGTACTATAGCTACTTAGTAAAATAAACGTTTTGCATGAGATTTGTCTTGAAAAAAGATAACAAGTGTTTATTGTTGTTGTTTGACAATTACATGCATTATACCTTATTAGGTGTCACAAAAGTTGAATAATAAATAAACAGATTGGTGTTGATGAAGCATTAAAAATGGTGTTTCCCCCTAATAATTCGCTTTCACATAAACCAAGATAAACATTATTTAATAAATATTTTACTAAATAGCCTTTTTTGGAATAAATGCCTATGTATCGATGATCTAACACCGGTTTTTCAAGTAAACATTGACAAAACCAAACACGATTAATATGATATTACCATGTGTAAAAATTGCCCTAAATGTTTCACTAATGATAGCTATTTGTTTTTAGGGGCCACCAAAAATGTATAGATAAGTTATGTTAAATAAAGATTTCAAAATTATGTTAAATACATCATATGATTTAATTATTTTTCATTGGTACATGTTTCATAAAGTTTACTTATCATGTATACTTAAGTAAATAAAACACAATTGTCACATACCATTTTATCATTAGCTCGTATGTTTTTTCAAAATGCATTTCATCCATTATTTCACCATAGATTTTGCATATGAAGTATTATATATTTATATTAAATATTATGCATTTAATGACATAGAAAAGCTCGGCTTGTGTCCAGCCCATGATCACCACTAGGATTTAACAACTCGTATAGGATGGTCAATCTCAATTGAGCTAAATCAGGCATTTAGGATCACAATTTATCGCATGGTAAAAAATAAAGAAAAAAAGGGTAAATTGAAGATCAATATGGTTCATGTATTTTGGATTAATCTCACCCTTAATTTCAAAATATGTCAATACAAAACTGTCAATTTAGTCTAAAATCATTAATCGATAATAAAC